ATACATTGTGTAGCAATGCCAATGAAAATTTAAATTTTCACTTTTGTCCTTTTTTTTTGGTACCTAAGAAAGAATTTTTAATTCTAAGAATTATGCTTCTTGAATTTTGAGAATCGGTTCATAAATAAAAAAGTTATGGGGTTGTAAAGGTCGGCAAAACATGGATGACCCACATATAGGAAAATACTCCTAAAAAGTGGACCACGCAGTAGCAGATTCTGTAAGAAAATCGACGATATCTCGGTAACTAATCGGAGTGTTCGAGAGAAACTTGGCTACCCGATGTGTTTTTGAGTGTAGAAATCATTTCTGCAGTCAGATTTACTACCAATTTCGTAGTTATTTTGTTATAATTAAAATTGTGGTGTACATATTATGATTTTGCGAGAAAGGGGTGTCAGGATGAGTCCATTTTATTTATAGCATCGTATCACAAAATGGGATCTTTAAGAATATATGTCGGCAGCGTGACTAAATAATTGCAAAGCTTTTTATGATGACTTTAGACCATGCCAACCGTAAAAGATAAGTTAATTCAATCTAGCATGCCGTTCAATTAAAAATTCTTTTTCCCCGTTGAGACGCGAACACCCCGAGACGAGATAACATCGCCTCGGAATACCCCCATTGCGATGTTACAGGGGAATAGAGAGAAAAACAACCGGATGCGCGCGCCCGCCATTGCCCTATTTCAAGTGACCAATGAACGGGCCCGGAATAGTCATGCGGGGATTTGTAGGTCACATACATTTGCCACGAGAGTGAGGGGAAAATGGCCGGTCTCCGTGCGAATCCGCTTTGGATAGGGGGGTAGTCGTGCATTTATGATCGGGTCTAAACAACTACTTGACACAGAATGTTCAAATTTGAGCACACTATAGAGGATAGATAGATCTATTACCATCTCGGCGTTGAAATTCAAACTCCTTATAGTTTTCGGTGTACACGATACGAAAGTGTTCCCAACACCAAAAGTATAGGTTAATTTATGTGTACGAACTTTAACGTCCACAAATCATTAGTTTGCCCTATTTTCTGATTGGGTGCCGAGTTTCATTCGGATTGGTTCGGAAATAGAGCAGACCGAGGTTGACAAAGTTAGTCACTTACGCTTCGGCCGGGTCCGCAAAATCGCCCGTAAACAGGGACCAAATTTTCGCCTCGCGGGAAAGCCCGATTGGCATTGCTACATTGTGTCATTGTGTCGTCATTGTTATGTACAAGTAATATTTGTCATCATTGCCAATATCAATAAGTTTTCAACATATATTTCATACATGCAAGATTCATTTAGAAGCAAAACACGCCTTTATTGATCTGTGTATCTCTTAGTGCAAATTTGTTCTTTGTAGGCATGATTTTACCTTTTCCCAGTATGTTTTGTCATCACTGTTATACGTACGAGTACTGTTTGTCATAATTAGCAACATAATTGCGATAGTCCACTGTCTTTGATATGACCTGATATCTGTTTCAAAGCAAAAGAAACCTCTCCTGGGTTTTTTTTTTATTTTTAAAGTGCGCTTTTATCTCTGGAGGCAAGACTTTTGTCTTTTCCTGTACATTGTGTCATCATTGTTATGTACAAGTCATGTTTGTCATCACTGTACAAGTCAGCTCCATTGATTTTGTGCTTTTGCCTCATATTAGTTTAAAAATTGTTTTACACGTGTGTTTTTCTGGTACTGAGGCTTTGATAACTGTATTTGTACAGCCTTTCACTATTGTGATGTGTTGTCAATGATAATGTCCAATGTGTATCCTTTCTTGTACATATAACAATGATGACATGTTCTGTGCACTGCGTCATTGTTACAAAGCTTGCCATTCATATTACCATTATGAATGGAGTTCATAGTGTACAAAGTGTTTGTTTACTAAACAAATGGAATTTAAAGTCTATAATTTGCCTTGCTGCTTTTATCTGTTTTTGTCATCACTGTTACATACAAGAAATACAGTAGTTGCCAAACCAATAGACCCATATCTCCAAAACCGTACATCTCCTTGCTCTGATACTCTAGGAATATGAGCACTAAATGTCAATCTGTGACTGACAGAAAAGAGTCAAATTGGTAAGAAAAATTTTTTTGCACTACTGAGTCTCAAGAGAGTCTCACGTTTTGGCAATTGCTCATTAATATTTTCCCTTCATCATATTCGCCTGTATATATACACATAATCTATATAAAAATGAATCTTGTTTTGAGCCTACAACCAGAATATCGACGGTCATGATTCATATCATATATATATATATATATAGGCCTATATATACAATAAACGCGACAGACAAAAATTAATGCTCAAAGTACAGTAGAATAGCCCAAGTAGACCTATTCAGTGTGAGAGGTGTAAGAACTGTGGGAGGGCAAGATGCAGTTAACCTGAAAATCTGCGAATCTTGAACAGAAAGCTAAAATATAGAGATCTAATCTACTGTCACCAATCCAATAAAACGCGAACACTTAGGCCCTCAAGTTCCACAACACGCTTACAAGTTATGACGGTTCCCGTTTTCACACAAAGCCTGCACCAACGCACATTTTACACTAAACATTTGCAGAGAGCTAGTAGTAATCAAAATTCTAAACATTATAAAACATATTTGCTTCCAGTTTCAGTTTTTTTTGTCTTCTGGTGTTGCGTCCAGCCCTCCCCCTATCCCCGAGTGCGTCTTTTAAAAAAATCAATAATCTCCCCCCATTCCCGAGTCCTGTACTTCGAAGCGCTCAGAACGCGAGCAGGTTCATTGACCGGTCACAATGGCGAGCCCGGCAAGACGCTTCTATAACTTTCTTTTTTTTTCTTTTTGTTGCCCCCCATAAGTGACGGCAAAGAGACAAAATATTTATTTATTTTCATGATGACACCACGTTTGTAATGCCGAACCTGCATGTTACAATAAATGTTGCATTATCAGACAATTACTGACAAATTTTAGGGTGGTAACGAAGCCAAAGTAGATCTTGATTTTCCAGTCGAACCTTGGTGACACAATTCCGCTTGCCGCCAAAACCACCAGTTCGCGCGAAACGTACTCTCTGAGCCGAATTAATATCGCAATCGCGACCGGTAGAAATGAACTTAAAGACGTTATAATTGGATTTGGTTTTCAAATATGAGATCTTTTATGTATGGAAGTGGCTATTCTCACCCGGGGTGGGAATAGAAATACGATCTACCTCTCACCCTGGGTGAGATTTGCCAGTGTAGGCTATTCTCACCCGGTGTGAAACAAGACCTGTTTTTTCCTCAATTTGGAATACTGTCTATCGGTGTGGATGATCAAATTGATAAAAGCCAAGAAAAAATTACGTTGTAGCACAAAAGTAAGCTAATTTGATCGTCTTCAAAGATGCTATGGCTCTTTCACTTTTCAAATCGAGCCGAACTACGCGGGTCGCCATTTTGTTTTGCCCGGAAGTTCTCGCAAGATCTACTCCTCCCCTCTCTCTCTCTGTCTCTTTCTGAATACTGTCTATTGGTGTGGACGATCAAATTGACCAAAACAAAGTGAAAAAATGCTTTTAAACAAGAAAACTAAATTAATTTGGTTGTCTACAAAGATGCTACGGCTATTTAACTTTCCGAATCGAGCCGAACTACGCGGGTCGCCATTTTGTTTTGCCCGGAATTTCTCGCGCTACTCCTCTCTCTCTCTCTTTCAACTGCCCACAACAAAATTGCACGCTTTTAGGCTAGGAAGTGGCTATTCTCATCCGGGGTGAGAATACAAAAACGATCTACCTCTCACCCCGGGTGAGACTTGCCAGCGTAGGCTATTCTCACCCGGTGCGAAACAAGTGCTTTTCCTCATTTTTGAAAACTGTCTATTGGTGTGGATGATCAAATTGATAAAAGCGCTACTCCTCTCTCTCTCTCTCTCTCTCCACTGCCCACAGACAAAATTGTACGCTTTTAGTTTACGCTATACAGTTGTAATGGAACGTTTGTTCACGGCACAGAATTCTACAATTTTTCTGTTATCACAGTGTAGAATTCTGCGGTTTAGGGTGAACGCAAAATTTGTTGGCCTAGATCTAGGCTATAACGGTGAACGCGCACCAGGTGAGAATAGCCAAAAGACTCGCATGCACTATTCTCATCCCGGGTGAGAATAGAGGTGGCCTTTAGGCTAACACTAACAGTATGAGTAGTAATAGATCTAGAATCTAGATTGTTTGTTCACAGCACAGAATTCTATAATTCTGTTATCACAGTGTAGAATTCGGAAGGACTTCCGTAACGAGCGACCACCCCATCAAACACAATAAATAAGGAAGAGGCCTAACCCTAACCCTAACCAAAACCCTAACCCTACCCCTATCCCTAGATCTACCCCTACCCCTAGCCCTCAATTCTGTTCTGTCTCATAGTGGTCGCTCGTTACGGAAGTCCTCCCTAGAATTCTGTGGTTCAGGGTGAACGCTTCACTGGTTGGCCTAGGCTATCATATTTATATAACGGTGAACGCCCACCGGGTGAAAATAGCCAAAAGACTCGCCTGCGCTATTCTCACCCGGGGTGGGAATAGAGGTGGCCTTTATGTATTTTCCCGGGTCTCTGATTTTTTAAAAATTCCCTGGACCTGGCAATCACCCTGCTCCCAACAACTCTCTTTCTGATTGGCCCGCTGTCGCGGTAGCAGAGTTTAGCGGAGGACATGGCGGTAGCGGAAATCCGCTAAATAGCGGCAGCGGACTATTGAGACCCATGATCTAGGCGCGGCTGGAATTAAACACGAGAAAGTACACAATTGCCTCTGATCCTCCTGTCTGATTCAGATTGATTGTGCTTGTGAGTTGCCTTTCACTCTTCCCATTGCCATTGTCAACTCAACGCACTTGTAGTTGTAGGCCTACTTGTGGTTGTGGTTGTCTCGCCTATAAGATGACACAGCATCAATTCAAGTATCAACACCCACATCCTCACAAAACATTAACCCATAGACAGAAACTATACTTAGGTCAAATACAGCTGAGCACAAAATGTCCAACCTTGAATTCTCGGGGCCTAACGTCTCCGACAGAACACGGGAAGATCTATGAGTATTGTTGTTGTCAGCCTGAAACTTTGTTCGGACCTGCATGCACAGTGCCAGATTTTTAATAAAGCAACGGTGTGTGGTCAAAATAATAGAGCAAGCAACGTCTTTATTCAACGATAATTTTTTTAGGAAGTTTAAAGAAAAATCTTTTGCAATTTTTCAAAAAAAGATTTTTGAAAAGAAAAACAGTATATCATTCTCAAAAAGAGAAATGAAGATATTGATTACTCACTCTAGAGTCCCATTTCGTTTCTGTAAAAGTTCCATTTCAAATTGGCAATGCCGAGGTGCTGCCATCTAAACTTCCGTGCCCGCTGAGTGAGATAACTCCGTTCGGTCCTCAAACAACCGTGTTGTTGACGACAACGTTGCCAACGTGTTCCGTTATTTTCACCGCGCTGCCGAATGTTCGCAATACCATGTATATGTATGCCTACTGCAATACTGCAAAAAAAGATGTACTTCGAGATGATTTTTTAAAATCTGATAAATCGAGTTGTCCTATTTTTTTTCAAGTCGGAATGCTTGTCTTATACGGGTGGTTTGGAGGGCGCCACTCACCACATTTATGTAGTGTGGGTTTTCTTTTACTTCTTTGCTATATTATGTTAGATTCAGATAACTGTTAAAGCATTAAAAATGCTACCTTCCGCCCCCCCCCCTTTAAATACACCTCTGCAGTCCCCTCTGAAAGGTGAACAATAACAACAACAACAACAACAAAAATACCAACCCAGTCCAAGAAAGGGGAGGGGGGGGTGGGGGGGCTAATAACATTTATAGTAGACGAGAGTAAAAAATTAAAACATAATCGGAGACAATACCTACCCCTATGGTGTTCCTATGCCATTATTTATATATATATATATATATATATATATATATATATATATATATATATATATATATATATATATATATATATATATATATATATATATACAGTCGAACCTATGTAAGACGGAATCGCAAGGGAGCCAGGAAAAAATTCCGTCTTAGACAGGGGAATTTAGGGGAGATTAGGGGGAGGGGGGTTCAAAGGCCCAGCGATGGGATCAAGGATCGCTTGTCTGATCGGCAAGCAGTGCTTAAAACTTCACACCTCTAAACTGCTATCCTGTCTGATAACGACATGCGTCAGTCTTACTTTTATCCAATTACCACCAGTGCTTGCTTTTCATAGGACCACTGTTTAACCTATTAAAAACAGAAACGTTTAAAAATCTCTTTTGCTTCCACCCTTGGCCCCACCCACCAATGCCACCCCTCACTGCTATCATTGTAACAACGATTCGAGGAACTCTTTTCTCGGCAGGCCGTACGATCAGGGCGGCAGGCATTGGTCAATCTCACACCTCTGGCTTCTGGCTATCCAGGAAAGTTTCTGTAGTGGCTCGCTACTCGAGCACTCTCACGGGCAGTCGTGAGATTTCACACCCACACTACACTGACCATCTGCATCGCTCAGGGCTCACATGATGGGGTAACATCAAGGAGCTTATAACTACTGTAAACTCCTGGGGTAACAATATCTACCCCCAAATTGCACCCCTACTCCCATTCCTATTCCTGGCCCAGTAGCATGGCCATAGCGCTATACGTTCTTGCTATCTCTGACAATCTAGCTGTAGCGTTAGGTTTAGAGCCGGCGGAACCGAACTTGTAATTGTTTCAAATCAGGGCTGAGCGGGCAAAGCGTTTTCCGTCTTAGGCAGGTGAAACCCTCGGAAGGGAGCGGATTTTTCTTTCCGTTTCCGCATTGGACAAGTGTCCGTTTTATACAGGTAATTAAAGAGGAATATATCAAGGGTGGGGGTGGGGGGGGGGGGTTCCGTTAAGGCAGGTTCGACTGATATATTAATGTAAGTGCCTCTTTTCACAGGCTATGTAGGCCTAGAGGGCAGCCTAAATCCAGTTAATGACATATTGGTCCCTTTTCGGCATAACAATAAAATTTATTTTAAATACACGATATGCCTATAAGATTCCACGTCTAAGTTTGCAGAAAAGGCCTAACTGCATCATGTATAGTAGACTATAGCTTCAGTTCCAGTTCCACGCCTCCTCAAATAGTATTTATTGGCAAAAATTAAACAAATCCGCAATATGTCCGCCATTATTGGTCTAGCTTATGTGCTAAAAGGCCTGTATTGGTCCTAAAGCTCGAATTAAAACCGTAAACTCAAAATAACAATAAGGTCTCGTTTTATTTAGGGATCGAAGCCCCAGCCCATTGAAAATTACCTTTTTGACTGACTAGATTTCGCGAAGACATGAGAAACATTGAAAAGGGCTATATATAGCCTATTACTATTAGAACTCGCGTCTTTTTAACAACCTATTGATCTCCTTTATAACGTAGACGCATTTACAAAACTTCAACCAAACTAATAAATGCCCGATTGAAATTAAATTCCTATTCAAAGTTTTCGAAGAGAATGCCTGGCTGAATTATACAGGTTGAAACTATAAAGCCTGGACATAATAATATGAGGAAAGTAGTCTACACATTCTTCGTCTTCGCCATCATTTTATCTTATTAGAAAGTCAACAAGTATGTAATATCTCCAATAATTTCCACCATTTTGAGATGCTATGTAGATGGTCGAAAGATATTTTTGTTTATGAAGCACTTTAAAGAATCCAAGTGAAAACGACGCCGTAAGACCAAAGATCATAGAATCTTTGACAAGACTGCTCACACTTCCGTCAATCTATGATATATATTAATATTGGTAAAGGAGGTTTCCTTTGTGTCCGGAGCATCAAGTAGTTCATGTATCTTTCAATTCCATGTCTTCTGAAAGACAGTGGGCAAAAACTGGTTTGTTTTATCTTTATTGTTCAGATGCTGTTACATTGTACCCACACTCACGCGCGCGCGCGCGCACACACACACACACACACACACACACACACACACACACACAGAGGGAGAGAGAGGGGGAAGGGAGAGCTAGAGAGAGAGGGGGGGAGATCGAGAGAGAGAGAGAGAGAGATAGAGAGA